TCTGCTACTCTCTGAGCTGCCTCAATCCATGCTTCCAAGTCGTCAAAGGCCGGGGGCGGGTCCATAGTCAATACCGTTGTCCGCAAGGACTTGCTGAGACCTTTCTTGGACTTGACCACTAGGTTGGCTTCGTCGACATATCCCGAATGGAAAACCAATTCCCGGAACCGATCAGCATACTTGTCCACTGAATCTGAACCTTGATACCATGAGGATCCTTCCAATTGTGTGATGGCAGTGACCTGTCTGTTCTGAGGTGTGAAATGTTTCTTGAACTCCAACTTCTGCAAAACCTTCCCAACACCCTGATGTCTAAGGAGAAACAGCACAAGCAATATCACTGTGTCACTAAGGTGAACAATATCTTTTCAGGCCTCAATAGGCTCACTAATTAAATATATGTGTAGTATTATCATCCAGACCATTTATCAGCTTTGGGTCCTGAGAAAGCTATTTGGGGTGAGGTATTCAATTCAATCATGCAAGCCACCAATCAAACCAATGATGGTCATAAATAATGTGATTCCTCGTCTCACCTACCATTTCTAATTCATCTCCAAATCTCCAACTACCACTCCCTATTTAATATTTATACAGTATTCTTCCATAAAATAAGCGACTCTGGAATGTATCTAGAGTTGTAAAAAAGGTAGATAGCTGTACAGAATATAGATCAGCTTGCTACCAACAAACTCGGTATGAAATCCTGGATCAAAATAGGCAGTCCACTCCTCAGAGCTGACTGAAGGAAAACACTCAAGTTTGGTTATTTTCTGCTTTTATTATTTGATGAAACTCACTGCCATCTTATTTCTTTGTCCCAAGCAGGGGCTTTGGCACTCACTCAAAAAATGCCTGAGTTTGGGCATTTTCTAGGCACCCATGTGAATGCCTATGCCAGTTCAATTTTTTTAACTTCTTTCAGAAGTTTAGGGAATTGCAACCTATTGATGGAAAATTAAGTTTCATGCAAGCAATCTAGTGCTTGCCAGAGGCACACAGCTGTCAGATATTCATAGAATGTAGGTGTTAATTTCAATATCACACACATGAAAAAATAAATACTGAGAGAATAAACTAGGCCATGAATTCTAACTTCTGAACAAACACTGTAGAGTAGATGAATGGGATTGTAGAGGATGAAGTAACATGAAGACAAAAGTGATAGAGAAGCACCGTTTCGGTCTGATCCCGATTTCGGCTTTGGTTTATGCCTCCGACTATACTCACACGAAAAAATTGTATTGAAAAATACGGCTGTCATGGACTGCTAAGTAAAGTAGACTTATTGTGAATTTGTAGTACTTACACACCTAAAAGGTTTAATGAGAGTAAAATTTAAACCTACGCCCCCGAGATGAGGTTAAAGGAAAGTCTAAGCGCCCTAGTCTAACGCCTCAGACCAACTCGGCCATCTCACTGGTGAGAATGTAACGATCATTGGTCATCCTGACCACAGTTTTCAGCATTTCTTTCTGCAAAGCTGATCACAGTGGTGTGGATGAGCGGTCAACGCTTCCTCCATATTATAAGGTACATAGTACAACCAAACGCAACTACAGCTGCTAACAATTTCTACAAATAACATCCGATTCTTTATATCATTTAGATGAATGACCATGAGACACCTTGAAGTCGACCAACATCCAGGCTTGCAAGCTGCTGAAATGCACTTGGAGTAAGGTCGAGGTCAAACTCAGCGCAACCAGTACATCTATCTTCCACTGTCACAGTGACACTGTGGCCATCCTCTAAAAAATGTGTCAGATAATTTCCAGCGAATAAATGTAATACGTACGAGTAGTCAGGGAGATTTGACGACCACAAACGGCGGCGGAACCCCTATAAAGATTAGTTATATCAACACTTATAAAATCAGAAGATTTAACCACGGAACTCACATGCTATCAAATAGTGATGCAGAAATAGCAGTGATAGCATCCGAATCCGTATTGGTATTTCCACATGCCCCTAAACCGGTGTCGAAAAAGGTCACAGATCCTACACCTCCGGATTGACGAGATTGAAGGGGAGCGGGTGCAGCGGCAGCAAAGCTGGCGAGGACAACGAAAAGGGGTACGAAAAGAGTGGCTTTGAACATGATATTGATTTGACTAGGAGAAGACGTAGGTTACGTAGAATGCTATTAGCTAAAGTGATGTGGGTGGTGCCGGACAAGGAAACCCCTCCACATCTGCTGACTTTTATAGCCTTTGATTTCAAAATAAATCATAGCTATAGTCAAGCTATACTTGATGCATAAATAAGCGCATCAGGCACCTTGATCTCGGTGACACCGGCAGTGCTGTTTCTGCGCTTCCAATATTGGCTAAGGAATCCGCGAGCTAATGTCTTGAGTAAGTCAAACCCTCATTGCCTTAATATCATAGAACTTATCATACGACTCTTCTTACATATATGAGAAGACTTAAAGACGCCATAACAACAGCTCGAGGCTAGCCTGATAATATCAATCAACGCTCAGCTTCCCGAGTTTTGATCTAGTGATCGCACCCGACCAGTTACTTAAATTCTCTGACCATTAATAAAGCCAGAGCCACCGACTAGGAGAGAGCACCATTCCAGTGCTGGGCATGTACAAGACAAATGTCCATTTCAATTGTTCTTCCTGGTAATTGCACTGTACATAATAATAGTATATGGGGTTGCTGGAGACCTTCCTTAATCATCAACTGTTCAACAGATTCTGATAGCCAACAGAGGAATCTTAGCATAGGGCTTATAAGCCATCAGCCGTTACCGGTATACATACCAGGTATTACCCTGTATCACCGCTCATCCTCGCTCATCTTCGATTAAGTATAGAGATAATAGAAATTGAATTTATGTAGTCTGGGCTGGTCCACTCCTAGCCGGGTCATTTAATTATCAAAATGCTTCTACAGAACATGTAACTCTCTAGAACGATAACGTAGATATGTAATAGACTTTTACAGGTCGATTCACGAGCTGGCGGTTGTACAACAGATAGTAAATAGTTCAATGAATTGCCAAAGGGGCCACTACCCTTTATACAAAGACATATCGTACTAAGTAGTACACAAAAAGGTTTGACGAAAGTGGGATTTGAATCCACGCCTCCGAAGAGATGAGATTAGGAGAAACCTTAGTCTCACGCCTTGGACCAACTCGGCCATCTCTCCGATGAGATCTGAATTCCATGTATGACTCCTCCCAGTGAAAAGAGAGAGAGAGAGAATCGTTAATATTGTAAAACTCGCATTGGTAGAAGATTTCGATGGTCACGTTACGCGTGTTCCGTAATATTACATGTATAGCGATTCCCTAACTATTAATCAGTTACAGCCCTTTGCAGTACGCTGCCGGTCAATTTTACCTCTGTTTACCGCCGGCGAAATACTCAACTCGAAAACCGCTTTGATTCTGTGCTCTTTATCTTCCAGTAGAATAAAAATGATATATAGTAGCATTCTAGCATACAAATTGGCCGTCGACGGCATGGAAGAAACAGAATTCCAGTGATGGCAGCGCAGGTTGAGGGGATTGGTGTCATTTCCTTCACGTTTCTGGTGTATATTGAAGTCCATATATTTTAGAGTGTTGTTTTTATTCATTATTTACGTTAGCCACTAAAAATCTGCCTAAAAGGAAGGTATTTGGGGAAGAGGTATTTCGCCGGCGGTAAACGGAGGTAAAATCGACCTGCGCCTTGCGTACTGCAAAGGGCTGTAATCGAGATGACCAGCATATCGTAGGTGCTCGTGACTTTCAGGGAATTTCCGTAAGGGTCATTAATAAAGCCGTAGCCACCAAGAAAAAGCCCTCAGTACCGAGAACGGACAAGAAAAAGTACATATCTATTGCATAGCCCTCCATTACGTTCTCTCACTACAAATGGAAATTACGAGAGATCTTCTGTAATTACAATTTTTTCAACGGATAATTCAAGGGGGTGAGAGTCTCTTGGCATGTCAGTGAGACTGCATCATTAGCCGTTACCAGTCTCAGCAAACCTCTTCCACTCTTCACGAAATAACAAATGTACAGGCTTAGCGAGGTGATCCAGGGAGATGTTTTGCTCCTGTTCTGGGTTTTTGATTACTTATCTGGTTATTTACAAAGATATAAATATCTACAGCATGATAAACACTTTGCATTGAATATTACTCCCAATTTTTTCGAGCCAAGAGTCGTATAAGTAAGCCACTAGGACGCCAGTGCCAATTGCAAGCCCCAGAGACCCTCCATGACAGTTAGGAGAAAGGGTGCCTGTCACGAGCCACTATGCAGCACTGCAAGGCTGTATCTCTCAGCATCGGGCCGAAGCAAACACTCTAAATCCTCACGTAAGATGGGTGAGAAGTCCGGTTGCTTCTTTATGAAATTCTTAGTGTAATCAGACAGAAGAGATCCTAAAGCGCCCGAAGAATCGGAAGGCTGATTGCGCCCTTACCAACGTTTAAACCTATTCATCCATAATGCGGTCTAGATTTTTAAAATATAGATATCAATTAACTACACAGGGACCGACATCGGAATTTCTAGCAGTACTCCAAAACGTCCATCCACCACAGTATATGCAGAACAGCACCACTGTCTGTATCACCAACTCAAATTAGAATGATAACTAACTACATATCATGAAGATTCTGCGCAGTGAAATGTCTATGGGTAATTGCATATGTAAATATGAAATGCATGCTTCCTGAACAATCAACGTCAACGATTAACAAGAAGAAAAAGAAAAACTTTTGGACAGCCCGAGCATGTGTCATGTGTCTGAGCGAGAAAAAATAGGTGAATTATGCAGTGCAGTTATGATACTGATGCGGATATATGATTAGGGTAGGTTTGTTTGTTTCTGAGCTGAGCAGAGTGAGATAATGTTCGAACCCATCCCATTCATTCGTATTGCATGCCGTTTCCGATCCCTCGTTGGATTGGTGGCGATGTGATATGAACATCCATACGCACCCAGGAAAA